TTTAACAAGATCCTGGGTATGCACCAGCGAGCGACGATGGCATATCGACCTCAGGCTAACGGTACTGCAGACCGAATGGTACAGACGGCGACGAGAGCCCTGAATATGTTCGTGGAGGATCTGGATCAGAGAGATTGGGATGAGTACGCAGAGCGATTGACCTTCGCGATCAACACGGCTCAAGATCGGGTCTGTGGGGACTCCCCTTTTTATCTGGTGCATGGATGGGATCCTCGATCGACGCTCGAGGCAGCGATACCTTTGGGTACCCGGACTCGGGATCGGGATCATCGACGGTGGCGTTATCGGATCCAGAAGCTCTACGATCAGGCGCGAAGTCAGGTGAATGCTCGACTACGCGAGGCGATCACGGATCGGGCCGATCGACACAATGAAGAAGTTCGACCGCAGTCGATCGAAGCTGGATCTCAGGTGTGGCTGTACCTGGATCGTGTGAAAGAGGGGTATGCCCGGAAGCTGGCTCACCTGTGGCACAGCCCGTTCCGTGTGGCGGAGAAGGTGAACGAGTACACGATGAATCTTCAGATCGCTGGTACGGACTATCACCTATTCCCGATCGTGCATGTTTCGAAGCTGAAGTTGGTCAGGGACTTCCCCGATCGACCGCAGATCGCACTCACGGTGGACGAAGCAGATCGACTCGATTTCGGCGAAGTCTTACTTCCGGAGGACAGCTGGGCCCCAGATCGAGACTCGAACGAGTGCGAAGTGGAGAAGATCACGGATACGAGAACAGGTCGCAGGACCCGGTATGGCCGGACGTATCGAGAGTTCCTGGTACACTGGAAGGGTTATGACGAGCCTGACTGGGTCGACGAGGCTGATCTCAACTGTGGAGCTTTGTTGCACCAGTTCCTTCGAGATCGCGTGAACCGGAACGGATTGGGCGCGATGCAGTCTCACGAAGAAGAGTGAGATCGGACCGCCAGGGCGAGCTGGTCGCCTTGGTGAGTGACGGATCGACGGGGAGGCCGTTGATCGAGGAAGGGGTTTTATATTCGATATGATTGTGTGCATATGAATGCAGATCGGATGATTATGGAACAACTACAAGGCGCTACGACGACGGATCTGGGCTGATCGGGTTGGTGGCGAAAGGTGGTATGACGATAGATCTGGACTGATCGGGTTGGTGACGACGGATTGACTTGAGAGAGGTGCCCAACAGTACTGTGGTGTTTATTGATCCGAGACTTCCATGCTACGAAGATGCGCGATCGGCCTCCAAAAATCGAAGATTTCACGACAGACGAGCTGACCAGCTGGACGCTGAATTCGATCATCCGAGCTGAGGGATGCTGTTGTTGCTGCAGACACTCTGTATTGGGGATAAGTTCGTTGAGGAGACACGCGATCGGCTGTTCCAGATGATCCTGGGGCGGTAGCAACCTTTGGGTCCTGCCGGTGATCGTCGGTGCCGGCCTCGATCAAGCGGAGTAATAGGTTTCACGACGAAGTGTGAGCCGTTGATACTGGGATGGTGAAGTCTTGTCCGCAGTGAGCCGCCGTGCGGCCCGACTTACGGACAGGGGGCGCTTGTGGTGAAGCACCGAACAAGAATTTCCAACTGCGATGACATCAAGCGACATGGTGGCAGAACGATAGGCAGGGATCAGGCTGCGGTCGCGGATCAAGAGGGTCTATCGAGAGATCTCAAGCGATTGGATAACGTCGACGCGTAAGACAACACATATGTCAAGACAGATTACGGGCGATCGCGCTTGGACTGCGGCGTGATTCGACGTAGACCCAAGCCCGGATCGACGACCAATCTCGCAGATCTAGGGCGGCCGAGGACAAAAGAGGACGGGTCGGCAGCGCACGGCAACTCGCACAGGTCATCGATCGGGAGTTGATCGCCGATCGCCGATCGCCGATCGATCGTGGATCAGGAGGTGATCGTGGATCGGGAGCCGATCGGGGTCGATCGTGGATAGGGAGCCGATCGTGGATCGCCGATCGACCCGGATGGGAAGCACATGCGGGCGAAGCCAGGGCAAGAATCCAGTAATCGTTTGGTTGTAGGATGGTAGATGAGATGGCAGCGGTAGAGAGAGACCAGCTAAACATAAATCAGAACGCCATTTGCACAGAAGACCACAAGTGCCCTCAAGTCGTCAAGTCCCAGGAGCTACATTGGCCTCGGCAAGCATCGACACTTTTGGACAGTGAGCTAGTGGTACGGTTAAGACTGGATTAATACATTGGCCAGCTTGACCTACTCTAGTGATCCATCTCTTGTGTGCAAGCCCTCGATCAACCGGGTACTGCTTGGCCGGCGATCGCTGCGTCTCTCAATCGACCTCGATCCCGCAATAGGAAGCGGCAAGCAACCCAGGAAAGGAAGGAACACACCCGGAAAGGCAACTACAGGCCTTGGATCAACTCCAGGCCGACCGATCGGAGCGAACAACCCTCGATCGGAGCGAACATTCGGACGCAGAGCGAAGATTCCCGCGCTGCTCCACATCCTATCCCCGCGTCACGCCAAGACATTCGATCTTCACCAAGTGCTGCATCTTCGGAGCCCCGAGAGAGCAGACCCAGCCCGCCGACGGGTACACAAGGTGAGAACAAGTTCAGCCGATCACGGATCGTTGGGGGACCCCCTCCGTTAGTCGGTGTCTGGGCGCTGGTGGGAAGCTCGATCAGGCCTTAACCAGATTTTGGCCGATTCCGCTACACCACAGCCGCTGCAGCTGCAGCCGGGTTGAACGCGCCTGGGTTGAGCCCTGCTGACTTGCGGCTCAATGCTCGGTTATGCCGGATCCTGGCTCAACGTTTCCCGGAGGTGATGGACACCCCGACTGAAGAGACTCGTCGAGTCGAGTTGACCATCCACCCGCGAGCGGACGGCGCCGCTACTACTCTGCCAGCGCCCGTGAGCTCGGCTGGTTCTTTCCTTGGACAATCAACTCGGCTGACTGGATCTGAGGCTCCGGCCTCTCCAAGCGAGTCTCCTGCATCATCTGCCGCCAATCCTGTGTCGGCTGATGCGGTTTCTACGCCCGTGTCCACTTCTGCTTCGCGCCGTCGCCGCAGCAAGTCGGTCGACGAGGTTCACCGAGTTCGGCTGGATACGCTGACACCCGCCGAAAAATTACTTCGCTACTCAACCCCGAAGTCAGCGACGGCGGCTGGTTCTTAGCGCAAGCCCAAGAAGCCATTCGAGCAGCCGTACGCGTGTCCACTTCCTGGTGAGGTCGGCCATGAGGACGCGTTGGTCCAGCTTGAAAAGGCTGCCCAAGAGACTGACGCCGCATGCGACCTATCGCTCCGGTCGAGCTTGAACTTAGCCGGGTTGACTGTCGACGATGCGAATGTGGAGGCCGGCGACGAGGTTCACTCGCTGGAAGAGGACCTCTCGTTCGAGTTCACCGAAGTGCCTGGTTCCGCCGAGCTTCCGAGGGGGCCCGCCGGCCCGACCGTGAGTGTGCCGTCCGTGCAACTCGTGCCTTACTCTTCCTCCCCGGTGCAGACGCCTTCAAGCGGAGTGGCTGTTGTACCGTTGCCTGGATCTGCTGACCTTGCTACAATTCCGTCCGTTTTGTCGCTTCCTGCCTCGGTTCCGTTCCCGACTCGTGTCCGGTGGGTTCCTTCCTCGACCAGCGTGCCGAGCGCGGCTGTGGTGACATCGACTGCCGGCGCCGGAGGACAACCGGGTTCCTCTGCTCCCGATCCGGCGCTTGCTACAACGCATGCTGTGATTGCGCCGAGCTCGACGGCTGGAGTCTCGGCTGCAGGTACAATTAACAGCTCCGCTGCGATTCCGCCTCGGGTTTCGCAGTCTTCTCCGGGTTCGGCCGCTCACCGGCTCTTGGCATGTACTCGTTCCCGGTTTGCCAATCAAGCCCAGAGTCGTCGTGGCCCGTCAGGGGTGGCGTCGACTGTAGTCACCCCAATGCCGAGCACTCCGTCGGTGGCCTCGACCCGGCCAGCGGTTCCTCCGAGCTCAGCTGGGATGACTTCTCCATCGGGTCGCCCTTTACGCTCCACTGCGGCTACTGCCCGAGTGTTGAACGCTCACTGCTTGGATCTGTTAGAGACTCGTGACTATCTCGTCCTCCGGTCCGCTCGGCGTAGCTCCTCCTCTGGCTTGTCGGGCTCGGCTCTTGGATTAAATGCTCCTGGAACCTCAGCACATCCGTTGTCTGTGTCCGAGAGTTCTGAGTCTGAGGCTGACGACCCTGGATCTGCTGACGAGCTCAGTTCGGCCGACCCTGACGCATCTCGCCGGGCTTCGTTGGCTTCTGCGCTCCCACCTCCGCACGGGAAGCTCCAGAGCTACATGGCTGCTCGTCAGTCTCCTCTCGTTCCGTCCAGCGAGCCAGATGACTCAGACTCGCAGCCGAGTTCCAAGAAGCAGAGCGGTAAGGGCAAGCGCAAGCGGAGGCGCAAGCACAAGCACGAGCACGAGCACAAGCACAAACACAAGTCAAAGTCCAAGTCCAAGTCCAAGTCGGCAGGGTCAAAGAAGTCGAAGAGGTCTGCGTCTCCGGACTCGGCTAAGGACCCCCGCCCGTCCAAGCGTCAGAGAGGTTCGACTGGGGACTCGGCCGGCGGCCTAGCCGGGATTTCTGCCGCTTCCAGCTCAACCGGCAACTCGGCTGGAAGCTCTGGTATCCCATCGAGCTCAGCTGTTTCGCCGTCGCCTATTTCTGCTGGCCCAGCTTCAACCCTGTCGGTGCCTATCGTGACCGCTCACGACGCTGGCGCCCACGTTCTCCCTCAGTTGCCTGCAGCTTTACGCCATTCGCTCGCTCAGCTGCGCACTTTAGCTCGCCAGGCGGTCGGCCGAGATGCCCGGATCACTCCCCAGCTAGCTCAGCTGCGTGACATCTGCTTCGTTCATTACGGGTCTTGGCGGTGCTGGGAGGCTATCCTCAGCCATCAAACGGCCAAGGTCACTGTGGATGACGCGTCGGGGAAGGGTAGCGTGCCGGTTACGCTCTGTTTCCTCGCTGGGATTAAAGCGTTCGCGGACGTCTACCATCCGGATCACCCGGCTCAGCGGCTCCTTCGTCTGCTTCCCAAGACTCCCATCTTCTTCTCCCGTCAAGTCCTCGACGATGCCAAGCGCCGGTTGGCGAACTCGGTGAAGTCGGTGACCTTGATGGAGCGTCTCGCAGAAGTGTTCGTGAAGATCCGCGGGGAGGCTCCGAACTCGGTCTGTGACAAAGCGGGTCCTACCAAGTTCTTCGTAGCACTGTTCGAGCGGTGTCACTGGATGGTCGAGTCGAGTGTGCTGATGGGGCTACATCCGGCTTTTCACACGGGGCTCCCGTATCACGTGATAGCCGAGATGTATGACACGTGGGCGTTGTACAAGTTGGCTCGCAAGGGTCGAGGCGATGCCCTCCGAAGTCTCATGACTACCCTGCCGGACGACATGTTCACTGCAGTGATGAAACTTCTCGGCGGGCTAGCTGCCCCGGAAATCGATGCGGAGCTCTTCTTCGAGCCGTCGGTCCCGTTAGATCCGCTGGTCAATCTCGCATAGATTCCCGCGGGCAGAGACTGGTGTGCTGAAGCCGAGTCCATAGATGACTCTGAGCCTTGAAGAGCTTGGTGGCTGACTGACCCGGCGACCCATCCGTACAACACGTGCTTCCGGACTCGCAACTTGGAGTTCATGGTTTTCGGTCGACCCGCGTATCGTCGAGGATGCTATCGAGGAGGACATGGATCTCGACGAGCCAGCTCCTCTCCAGATTTCGTCGAGTGCTCCAGTCCCAGCCAACCGAGCTGGGATTCACACGTTCAAGGTTGTGAAGTCGGCGAACTCGGCTGGGCTGCTGGTGACGTGGATCCGATGTCTCCGCTGATCAGGTCGCCCAACCTGTGCGGCCGTTTTACGACAGCGTCCCTCTTTGGCCCGGCGTCGCCTAGGTCTCCAGCTGAGTCGAGTGCAGGATCGAGTGTCCCTCTGGCTAGTGACTCGGCTATTCCGACCTCAAGCTCAGCGGACTCGGCTGTGCCGACCGGAGAAGCAGCGGATAGCTCGGCCGGCTCGGCTGCGAGCACTGGAGGTTCGATTGGTCTTCTCGCAGCGGCTGCTACTACCGTCGTGTCTTCTGCCGCGCATTCACAGGGTTCTTCGTCTCCGTAACTTGCGGCTCAGCCGCCGAGCTCTTCTTCCTTTCCAATCCTTCTTCGGCGTAACTCATGTAATGTATGCAATTTGACGCAGTAGCTTCCTTTGCCTCAACTCAGCCTGCTGTCTTCACTGAGTTGGCGGGTTCATCATTTTGGTGCAATAGCTTTAATCCTCGTCTGCAACTTGCACCATTTGCAGACGGTTTTCACACTTCTTCTGCAGTAACTAGTCGAACAATAATCCACCACACGACAAATTCGACAGCGGCTCCCAGGTAGGCTCATCATAGCCGACCCACTTGACCTCGAACTTCCGCTGAGTTCTGGAGGTGCTCGTAGAGAGCGGCAACTCGTCGCCCAGGATGGTTTCGACTTCGTATTCCTTTATTGCTTCATCGGGCTCCCTGCTATCTTCAGGAAGGAGTTCCTCGTCAAAGTCGAGGCGATCCGACTCGGCTAAATCGGCTACTAGCCTAGTTGTCGGTCGGTCGCCGAGTCCCGTGACCGCTTTCAGACGTGACAGATGTACCACAGGGTAGAAACGGTATCCGCTCTTGTCCGGGAGTTCGAGCTCGTAGGCAAACTCCTCCACCTTCTTCTTCACTTGGAATGGTCCATGCCATCGATGTTCTAACTTCTTGGTCAAGCCAGGTCTGACTCGTTCCATGAACAACCAAACTTGGTCACCTTCCTTGAATAGCGACTTCCTCGACTCGGCTAACTCGTCACCTTCCTCAGTCGACTCGGCTGCTCCCTCGGGTGAGTTCGCTGGGGTATCCGTCCCTTCCTCTCCGGCTGGGACAGCTCTCTGCTCGACTCGGCTGAGTCCATCATTGTGTTCCTTCGCTCTCCGTTTCTTCTCCTTCAACTGGAACTCGGCCGCAAGCTTCAAAGTCACCTCTCTCTGTCGGTTTGCTTCCCTGCGCCATTCGGCTGCCCCCGTTGAGTCAGCTGAGTTGCCCCTGCCGAGCCTGACCGACTCGGTCATCGCCTTGAGTGTAGACCGAGCGTCCCATCCGTGTACCAGGTAGAACGGGGTCTCCCGCCGAGTCGAGTCTCTCGGATTGTTGATGGCATGGACGAGCTTCTCGGCTACGTCATCCCAGTCGGCTTGGAGAGGGTCTTCCACGTACACACGCACAGTCTGGATCATGGTCTTCACTGAGCGTTCTTGCTGACCGTTGGCTTGTGGTCGATAACTCAGCGTCGCTCTCGACTTGGACTGCATCATCTCCGAGAACTTCTGGAACACTTCACTCATGAACTGGGGATCTCTGTCGTGGCGTACCAGTGATGGAGCTCCAAACCTCCGGAACACGTTCTCTTCGAAGGCCTTCGCTACCTCAAGTGCCCCAGTCTCACTCATCGCCTTAGCAATCACGAACCCGGTGAAGTGGTCTTGAAACAACAGGAGTGCAGTATTGCCCCGCCGAGTCTTCGGCAGTGGTATGACAAAGTCCATCGATACCACGTGGAACGGTCGCTCGGACACCACGCTGCCGGGTGAATAGCCCTTCAGGTGCGGTTTGCTCTTACTGGTACTGCAGTCTTCACACGCTTGGACATGTTTGACCACGTCTGCGTACAACCCAATCTAGTAGTAGTCGGCTCTGACCCTGTGGTATGTCCGCACGATCCCTTGGTGGCCTCCCTCGATGGAGTTGTGGCAGTTCTGCAGGATCTCGTCTATCATGGTCGTCGGAACCACCAGTCGAAGGGATAAGCCCAGTTCGCCGAGTTCGCCAGGTGGTCTGGCCTTGCCTTGTCGGTACAGTAGCCCGTCTTCGCTGAGGACAAACTCGTCTGCAACTTTCCCACCGTTGTGAGCTCGGCGATGTGTGAGCTGCGCATAATCCCCTCTCAGGTAGGTCTTCAGGCCGGCCCATCGTTGTTCCTCGTCCTGGGCTCTTGCTATGCGTAGGCGGCGCTCAGCTTGGACCACTACCGGATCGATGTCCATGGCGTTGGGCTCTCGGGCTTCTCCGAGCTCGGCTACCAGCTCAGCTGGGTTCGCTGGTGGTGCTGCGTTACCGAACTCGGCTTCTCCCGTCACCCGCTGTCTAGCAGGCAGAGGTCGGCTATCTCGTTCAAAGTCATTACGTTCGGCTTCCTCATTCGTAGCTGGGTTCGGGACTGGATGTTCTGCCGCTTCGTCTTCGAAACGGACTCGGCGGACTTGACTCCTTGTCACGGTAGCCATCTCAACACCCTCGGCCGGGGCTGCAGCCGAGTCCGTGTCCACGTACAGGACCTCAGAGATCCTGTTTAGGGTCTTCAACTCGGCTTTCCGTCCGGCGCTTAGCACGACCTTTCCTGCTTTGGTTTCCAGTGCTTCGGTCGCTAAAGAGTCAGCAGCCGAGTTGTAGAGAAGCACTACGTGGAGGTAGCGAACTGAATTCAGCTTGCTGACCAATTTCTTGTGGCGTGCTAACTCGACTCGCAATGCCTCCTTCTTACACGCGATCACCCCCATCGATTGCTGGATCGCAAGCCGAGAGTCGCCCACGATGATCAAATCCGTCACCCCGCGCTCAATGACCGAGGTCACCCCATTGTTCATGCCGGTGTACTCGGCTATATTCACCGTGGTCGATGGGAGGTGCGCGCTCGCAGCGATCTCAATGTTCCAGTCTGGCAAACGCCACAGGATCCAAGAACAACTCCCAAACCCGCCGTGTTCAGCAGTCTTCGCCGATCCGTCAAACGACAGGACGTGTCCCTTGAAGTCTCGGGGCACATGCGCATACAGCAACGCTGGGTCCATGCGGACCGCGGCCGAGTTCTTGGACGGTGGAGCGACATGCGTTAGCAGCTCGTCCAACCCCGCTGCTGGCGTGATGGACGCTTACAGCAACTGGGCGAAATCCGTGTCTCGTTCACGGACCTGCTTGACCTTGAGGTGGAACGGTGATAGCAGCACTGCAAAGCTGACCGCTCTGCCGTAAAGCGACTTCGACTGGAACACCCATTCGAGAGTCGAGTAGCGGGTGTAAACATGGATGATCTTCCCGGCGAGCAACGTGTGGCACACCTTGATGAGCTGTAGCAAGGCGAGAACTTCTTTCTCGGCGGGATGGTAGCCGAGTTCATTATCCTTGAGAACTCGGCCGCAGAACCGCACTGGATGGAGCTTCCCGTCGTGGAGCTGCATCAGCGTGCTACTCAGACCCCACTCATTGGCGAACAGCATAACGTGGACGTCTTCAGCCGAGTTGAAGTGGCGGAGTATTGGTGCGTCGACTACCTTCTGTTTTAACTCGGCGAACGCCGCTTTTGCGGCCGTCAGATTACCGCCGGGTCCAAAGTCGTCGTCTTTCAGCTGATAGAGGACCGCCCCATATACAGCCAGGTTATGGACGAGCCGGCCGTAGTAGTTCAGCGCTCCTAAGAATGCTTGCATCCCCTTCTTCGTCGTCGGGAACGGCAGTCCGGCTATCGCCAGCATCTTTTTCTGGTCGGCTTGGATTCTAGCCGAGGTCACCCCATGTGACAGGAAGTCGACTTTAGGCTGGACGAAGATGCTTTTCGGGAAGCTGACGCTGATGCGGCATTCAATGAAGCGTTGCAGCAATCGGTCAAGCGTCCCCAAGCAATCGTCGAATGTCCTCCCACCGAAGCAGATATCGTCCACAAACGATCTTCGGTCGAAAAACGGTGCAAGGCACGATTCATTAGGTTCACCCGTCCTGAACATGTCGGCTTCTGGGCTGTTAATGAATTCTTCCAACGGGTCAAACTCAGCTTGAGCTCGGTGGTCAGCTTCAAACTTGGTCTGGCCACTGGCTTCAAAGTCGATGTCGGCTGCGAGCCGTTTACGCTGAGCTTCTGAGGCGGCTTCCGCTTGTAGGATGCGCTTGGCGAACACCTTCCAGCCGCCCTTGGGTTGTACGTAACCCCACAGAGGGTTATCAATAAGGCGCTGGTAGATCATCGGTGCATTCTTTAATCCGAAGGGCATTCGCAGCCACTCGAAGTGGCCAAGCGCACAGACGAAAGCCGAGATCCAACGCGCCCGTCGAGTCATCATGACCGCCCAGAAACCGCTAGCAGAATCCAAAGAGCAGAACCATAGGTACGCTTCCAACTCCGTGAGGAGATCGTCCACTAGCGGCATTGCGTACTCCATGAGCAACGTAATCGCGTTTACCAACTTGTAGTCGATACATAACCGAATGTCGACCCCATTCTTCTTTAGGACAATCACGATCGGCGATGCCCATGGGCTGTTCGAGAAGGCGATTAGCCGAGCTCGTAACAGCGCCTTGAGCAGCTCGTACAACTTGCCGAGATGCTTCAGCGGAACTCGGCGGGCCCGTTGGCGGATTGGCGGATGCCCCTGTACGTCGATGTCGCACACTACGCCATTTGCTGGTGGAGGTAGAGCATTACCACTGGAGATCATGATCTTTTCATGGCTCTTCAACACCTCCACCAGCCGAGTAGACTGTGGCCGAGTGTGCGCCGAGCTCCGAACGTTTGGTGCTTCATAGTCGAGTTGCGTCGACACTGCCTCAGTCAAATCGGGCAGGAACGCCAACTCGCGAGCGTAGTCTTCGAGCTCCAAGTTTGTTGCTTGGTGCTCGAACTCGGCTGAGTCGCCTCGGTCATCTGTCTCTTCCTCGTACTTGGCTGCCAGAAGGTAACGTAAGCGCAGGTCTTCCTCCGGGTCCGACGACATGGGCTCGTCGCTCACATCGATCTCATCTTCGAGCCTCGGACTCGGCAGCTTGGGCCCGGGGTCGTCGATGATCGTCCAGTCAGACAAATCGCTGGATTGCTCACTTCCACACTCATCTACTGCACTGGGCGCTTCTTGACCAGCCGTCACTGTGATCTCTGCTCGACTAGGCGGGTCATTGTGTGGTGTAGCGGGATCGGCCAAAATCTGGTTAAGGCCTGATCGAGCTTCCCACCAGCGCCCAGACACCGACTAACGGAGGGGGTCCCCCAACGATCCGTGATCGGCCGAACTTGTTCTCACCTTGTGTACCCGTCGGCGGGCTGGATCTGCTC